CATCATCATATCCTATATTTCAGCGCGCCTGTCTGGAAACGCCAAAAAGGCAGCAGGAGCCAGGCGGGCAGCCCAATGGAGCCGGGGCAGGGCGCTCTGCGGACAGCAGCCCCTTGGCCGGGCGGGAGCTCAGTACACACAGAAATGAAATATCCCATCCCAGACCTTCCCAACAGCAGCTGCTGGCGCCAGCCCAGCTTCCTCACTTCAGTACTTTCCCCCGCTTGTCTGTTATTTCTTGCACAATAGGTAATGAGAGAAGGCCGACGGGTTGCGCTGCTAAACAACAGCAGAATTGGGTTAAATACACTCCTTTTCCTTGTACACTGCTTCAGTCAGGACCTAGAGCTGGTTTCCTAAAAAGCCCTGGAGATTGCAAAGTCCCATGCCTTTTCCCAGGGTCGGAGCAGGAGGGATTGAGGTTTCTGTCGGTTTAAAGCTCCGCATGCCCCTCTCCTGCAGTCCTTGCTCAGGCAAAACTCCCAGTGAAGCCCTGGAGGGCGGCTGGGCTGGGGGGTGGGGCGCAGGCTGCCTGTGCAAGGCCCTCAGGATTGGGGCCGCTGTGAGCTTCGTTTAAGGAAAAAAGAAGGAAAGGAAAGGGGAAAAATGATTTCCCTGCGCCTGGCCCCTTGGCAGGCACTCTTGTACGAAATTCAATCTCTATTTTTTATGAGAAGTAAACTGTCTAAATAAATTTTATTAGGGGCAACCAATATATTTTCTGGTAGTTCCCTTTGTTCCAGTTCTACGTGTGTGTAACAATCTAAAACCTATTTATTGAGGAAAAATCACTGGATCCGTCATAGAAAATCCTTTTACTTTGCTCTGAAGTGATTTCTGAAGACACTCTTGTCATTCTGAAGATTTTGGGGGCCATTGTGCTAAGCCTTTCCTTGTTAGGGAACTTCAGCTCATATGATCAGGTGGGAAATATCGTAAATGATAAAAGGAAGGGACTTGACTGGCACTTTTCTGGCTTCGCTGGGAAAATGGAAAGATGACGGGGAATAAAATCCTTGTAAATACGTCTCCAGCGCTGCCCGGGCGGGTCCGCACACTTGACAAAACAAGTGTGCGGAGGAGCGGAATGCGATTAGAGCATTTTACATATATCCCATTGCCATTTTCTTTCTGACAGGCTCCGTGTCAGCCAGGCTCTCTTTTCTCTCCTACAGATTTCCTCCCCTCTCCACCCCCCCACCCCCCGGCCGGGCCCCCCTCCCCAAGACCATTGTGCTCTGAAGACTTGGAAGAAATGATTTAGTTTGTTTATACTGCTATAAAAATCAAGAGCAATAGAAAAGTCATAAAACGAAGCGCGCTATCAATCACGGTGCAACATTGTTATTCAGCAGTTCCTAACAGAGATGGATAAGCCTTTGATTTCATCCCATTGTTATTGCTCTGATGTGTCTTCACATTAACTATTACACATTTATTTATCGACCTGAAACATACAACAACGCGGTAGACACGCACGCACCCGCACACCCCCGCGGGCACGGGGAGAGGGGGCGCCCGGCAGTGGGATCG